TACAGTTTTGAAATGTAAATTGTATGTAGCATGTCTGGTTTCCCACTCTTCAGAAAGTTAAATGCTGTGCACCTAAACTACGCATCGAAAGAACGAGAATAAAGAATTAACGAACAAAACAAATGCTGCTGCTTGTGTTACTATTCGATAGGTATTTTGTTTTAAACTATTAATCTGCAATACTTGTCCGAAAGCAAGATTCTCAAGTATGTTTCAAGCCTCGCTCTGATGATGAAGCTTATGTTGATTTAAAGCTGCTGGCTGGACTCCACTGTTTCCGAGTTTCCCATTCTCATTCATTTAAGCAAGGTCTGAAGCACAACGATTACATTAATTTGGATGTGAATTTCCTCACTTTAACAAGACATGAGAAAAGTCAAAACATGACACATTGAAAGAAAAAGAAAATAACGCTGAATGGAAATTGGCTTACAACTAATACATTTCATCAGAGGTAAAAAGAGAAGTCCTCACTGGTGAGAAAATTAATATTTGCGATCAAATATCCATTGATCACACAATTTTTAGCTATGGAAGTCGTTATTGAAGCAATAATTCCTCAATTAAATTGAGTGAGATTGACAGGCACATCTTCCATGTTTCTTTCAACATTTGGTTGCCCCACCATATCATTATTAATCATTCCAAAGGGGCTACTCTGATGAATCAAGAGTTTGTAAATGCGGTAAATATGAATTATGACCATTTCTTTTTCGTTGAACAAATTTTCGGCTTTAGTTTCTTGTTTTCTTTGTCCATATTAGTTCTGTACGTGATAATTAATGATAAGTTATTGTCCATATTTCAAGAGTAAAGAAATTTCCTAATCCTCCAGAGAACGGAAAGCTTGTTGCATTTGCTCGTTGAGTTCTGCAAAATCCGCCTTTATCTTGCTCTCGCCATCTTTGACAGGGTCCTGTGCAAAAACGATAAAAATTGTCCTAGCTCAGTCACCAATTTACCACCTTGAATATTAACATCTTCTCGTAGGGTAGTGCTTACGTTAACTAAAGTGAATAGTGGAAATAACTGCCGATAGTTTTTTCGCAATATCTATTTCAGAGATCAATGACAAAATCCAATCGAAGCGACACAACAACAAACAACTGATAACAAGTTAGGGTTGATGTTAGGTTAGGGGAGGTGTACCGGCGCAGATACTCAGACACTAACATCGAGCTTATCCCAGTGACATAGCCGCCATTAGCAATAGCAGTACACATGTACCGCTGAAGAGAACCCGTAAATTCGAGAAGATAAAAGACTTAAGAGGAAAGAGAAAAAGATAACGAAAAAATAAACTTAACTAAAAGCGAGAGAGGAGAAATAGAAAATACTAAGCCTGAAACTAAAAAATCCGCAAAATAAGTAATCCAACTAAAGTAATCTATTTCTATATTTCACACTGACCTTAAACTTCATACTTGACAACTGGTAAATAATCTGACCCATATTCTCTTTAATGACTGCCCACGTGATCTTGTTATCGGACTGGGCGGTGGCCTCCACAGAATGCCGTGCCGCATCGTAAAATGCTACAATGTTAGAAAGCATTCCAACAGTCTTGTAAAACGGACAGTAACGATCGTACGATGAGTAACCATTCTGCTGTAAAAAGTCATCTTTGATCAGCTTGGCTACTTCCAGAGTGATCTTATCTGCCTCAGCTAATGAACCCTAAAAACAGGGAAGCAAACAAACAAAAAATTAAAGATATATATATCTGAGAATAATTCATAGATTATTTGTGCTCAGATCCCTTTACAAGAAACAAACAGCTCACTTAAAATTGCCTTAGTAAGAATGAGAACTACGACACACTTCTTTTCATTTCCAATCGAAAAAGCGGAATTTCTACAAACCTTTCCTACAAGCTGTACAATCTCTGATAAGTCTTCTTCTTCTTGCAGAATTTCTTTGACCTGACAAGCAAAACAACAATAAAAAAATGCCACAAAATACAGACGCAATAAAGTGGTGAATTCAAGACTTAAAGAAAAGTAATTTCCAGTTAAGCGCTTTAGTACCGTTATATGCCTCGAATTTGTCAGGGGGATTTGACTAAAATTTCTCCATCGTGTTTGAGGTATAATGATTACTTAGCGACTAACAGCGAAGCTCGTAACGCACAGCGAAGCCCCATACTTATTATACATGGTGGTCTTCCATCACGCCAAAAAAAAAAATCATATGCCGGCCACACAATTTGTACGGTCATTTTGCCGCATAGGCAGATTAGTGGGCGCGTATGAATATCCATGATGCCCAAAGTCTAACGCCTCAAGTTCTATCCACTTCGACATACTTCATTGCAAATGACTCTAATCTTACAGTATCGGTTTCGCAAAAGAACCCTTGATTAACAAGAAACAGCGCTGCCTACACAACCAATTGCAAAAAATAGAAACAAATTCAATCAACTGATAATGGCGGGAAAAGAACACTTTACTTTTGTTCTGAGCGCCACGAACTCGGGGTAGTTTTTCTCGTAGAAATCATCTAAAGCTCTCATGTATTTACTATGACTGATCAGCCAGTTGATGGATGGAAAATGCTTCCTCTGGGCAAGCTTCTTGTCCAAACCCCAAAACACCTAAAGGAAAAACAGAATATAATATTTTCTTTGATTAGCGTCTATACCCTATTAAAGTATGTGAGAATAGATGGCTCTAACACGAGAAATGCTTTTGAACAGAATCGTCCAAAGTACTCTGCAATGTCCGTTCTGCTTTAGAGTCCTTTACAATCCTCTGAAAATGTCAGATGAAAGATTAAATTAATCTCACATTCAGCTTTTCGTAATTCATCAGTTCTTTCACAAACCTGAACAATACCCAGTGTAGCAGAAGTTACAGGATCTGAGAAATCTCCACCGGGAGGAGATACTGCACCAACAATTGTGACACTACCCTCCCTCTGTGGGTTACCCAGGCATTGAACACGGCCAGCTCGCTCGTAGAAAGAGGCCAGTCGGGCCCCGAGATAGGCTGGGTAGCCACTATCTGTAATCGAAAAATATACGCGTTAATTTTCGTGGTATTGAATCATCAATTTTACGAAAAGTATATAATAATTGTGTACTTCTGTTGCTCTCGCTGTCTGAAATGGGGAAATTAAGACGCGCCTTGTTAATCTTTGAAAATCTTGTCATAAGTTAGTTCTTTGGGGTACGTGTTTTGTTACCATGCTTAATCGCACGTCTCCATTGTGGATCAAAACTGCCTCGATCTTTTTCCTTTCCTGAACTCTTATGATTTTGAGATTTACTCAACTCGAAGGTAATCCTCTACTTCATAAAATACATATGCGTTATTGACCAAGCGTGAGGTCAAGATGGCTGGATATCGGCTGAGTTTGTGTTTTCATGGACAGGGACGATCTTACTCGCTCAGGTAGCCAATCAGAACACAGGATTTGCTTCATCATGCCCACGGGCGCTACCATCTATATATTTAGATCTCAATATAGCCTAATATAGGTTCGCTGTTTGTAACTACGGAGATGTTTGCCCATAATTTTCAGACTAGAGAAATTGAAATGCAAATCCCCCTTCCAATAAAAAAGTATTCAAAAACAATCTTCTGTTTAATTCTGAGAAAAGATCATAAAAACATAATCTCAGGATACTGAGCCGATTCGTCAACAACACATCGTCATTCGCGGCTTTTCAATTTCCCCCTGAAAGACACTCACTCAGAACAAGTCTTGCTAATTAAGTTCATCTCATTCCATGAACAGATCTACAGGTGAAAATAAAGTCAAGTACCTGCAGGCATTTCGGCCAAACGACCAGATATCTCACGAAGAGCCTCAGCCCAACGAGATGTAGAGTCAGCCATCATACTCACGTTATAACCCATGTCACGGAAATATTCCGACAGCGTTATACCTGTGTGACGAGAAATACTAGTCAATTCGTATTTCGAGAAGAAATACTGGTCAAACTAGTATTTGGACGGGAAACACTGGTCAAACTCGTAATTGAAAAAGAAATACCGGTCAAACAAGTATTTGGATCGGAAATACTTGTCAAACTACTGTTTAAAGGGAAAATACAAGTTAAAATTATATTTGGGAGTGAAAGAGAGCTAAATGATAGAGACTAATTCAACATCATGTAAACTCACGCACGAGCAACCGGCAATAATAAATAGTTGCAATAATAAATAGTTGCAATAATAAATAGTTGCAATAATAAATAGTTGCAATAATAAATAGTTGCAATAATAAATAGTTGCAATAATAAATAGTTGCAATAATAAATAGTTTTAATAGGATTGTCCACATGTGGAATGGGCTGCCACTATCGGTCCGTCAGGCTCCAAGTGTTTCTTGTTTTAAAAGGGGTGTAAGGGATTATTTGACTGCAAGATTTGATTGATTTTAGTTTGGATTTGTTTTTTTGTTAAAGGTGGTCTGCCGTGCATGGGGATTTATCTCTTTTGCGGACCATCCTTATGGCACCTTTCTTTTTATTCTCTTGTATTATTATCTATTAATGTAAGTAAGTAAGTAAGTAAGTAAGTTATATTGTGTCATTAAATTGTAATAAATAAAAAATAAAAATAAAAAGTTGCAGTCTCTGTGTGTATCGTATGAGCAATGGAGCGAAAATAAAAGGGGGTAATTTGGAAGTTAACGAAGTTGGTTTAGGGAATGCCCGCTTATTGTTGGAAATACCTTACCCGTGTAAATAGAAGCTTCTCTGGCAGCTACAGGCATGTTTGACGTATTGGCCACGAGGGCTGTGCGCTTCATGATGGACTCAGTTACTCCGCCGATCTCAACAGTGAGCTGCGAAAAAAAATCGATATTAAAGAGAGGGCTTCATTATTTTTTCACTGACTGTGGTTCATACCTGAGACTACAAACTGATTTCCTGCGGTTACGTTAGTTTTATTTTAATTATTGTTTTTCTGTGACGAGTTAACACAAGTACACTCCTACAGACTTGGCCAAACAGGTGCAATCCAAAAAAATCAATGATCATGTGGTCACGCCCATTGATTCCTGGAATTTTGACAAGCCACTGAAATTGAAATTAAAATCTCATGTTTTGTCTCTGTTGATCATGTGAGATGAGATTGCAGAGATGCAGATTAACTGAGTTCAAATAAGAAATGCACAGACACTCCTACAGGCGGCAACCCGGCAGAAATTGTCTGGTGATAAGATGAACAGCCCTGGTCAACTGCAACTAAAACGTGTCCTTCACCGAGCAAATCAAAGTTTAGGATCAGTTGTTTTGTATAATTAATTCAACTAACCCTTTACTCCCACTGACTGGATGAAAATTCTCCTTACGGTCTGCTATACATTTCTTATAACAATTGTTCTGAGAATTTAAGTTGGATTAAATTATATTTTCCCAGTTGATATTTTTTTTGGTATCCTTGTCACTTGTCTGCCTGACATTGTATCAATAATGAAAGGAGAAATGATGTCTCAGTCACTTCTTGGAGTGAAAGGGTTAGATACCATTCCATACCCACAGAATGTAAATAAACAAAAAAAATCAAAAACCTGTAAATGTCTGAATAACAAACCAGTGTATAATATAAATCAAATGAATCTACCTCAGGGAAATCTCTCAATACTTCAGACATCTCATTTCCTCTTTCCCCACATCCAACATAGATGATAACATCAGAGTTGGAAAACTTGGAGAGGGACTGGGAGATAACAGTTTTACCACAACCAAAGGCTCCTGGGATGGCTGTGGTTCCTCCTTGAACACACCTGAAAAATGTTACATTTCAACAATAAAATCACACAAGGCTTTTAGTTTCAAAAAATTAAAACTTAGTCGCTATTTACATCATTCACACACTGGAATGAAAGAATTGAGATTAAAGAAAAATGACCCAATAAATACGAAGGGTAAGAGGTTGCATTTAAGCCGCCTCTGTGTTATTGTCTCCCAATGATACAAAAACAGTGATAAGTATTTTAGTAAAATTTGAATGGGGGGCATTAGAGATGGATACAGTTAGGAGGCACTGCAATACCAGAACGTAATACATGTACAAGCCAAAAATTCCTCAGTCTGACACTAACAAGCAAAGAGATACATCTACATCATACTCACGGGAAAAGAGCATCAAGAACTCTTTGTCCTGTTAACAGGGGGTAGTTTGCTGCCAGCTTCTCTGAAACAGGTCTCATTTGTCTCACAGGCCAAATCTGAAAATACAGTTAGATACAGTTACATTCTATCATTTTTAACACTTTCAATTGCTTAAGGTTTTAGTGAATTAACATCATCCACCTCAAGGATCTAGCTTGATTTCTTTTCTTTACTGTCACTCAGCAAGGGTGAATCACAAGCATTTACATCATTTCTTGTAGTAAACACAACAGGAAATATAAGAGGTTCTGCAATAGATTCTACCTGCTGCATCCTACCACAATTTTCTTCTCTTTGTACATTCCTATGCATAGGCAAGCCAATTTTCCTCTTTTTTACATTAATAATAATAATAATAATAATAATAATAATAGATGCTTATAGGGCGCATTTCTAATCTCAATGTGCCTATAAGCATCTATTTATATTCCTATGAAAGGTTCTAGTACTATAAGTAATAGTTAAGATTTATATTCAAACTAAATTTCCAACCCACCTGCAACATAGTATGCTGGGTCTTTTCTCCATCAAATTCTGTCTCCATCACAACATCCTGTGGAAAAAGAAAAAAAAATTGAGGTTCTGTTTGTCTTCTAATGCTGCTTCTGAAACTCTTCTAGAAAAATGACCATCCTCTCTCTCCACTACTGCAGTAACTAATGAGAAAGTTAAAGCAATGCATCATTCAGTTCTTATTGGTTACCATACATTAATTCTATCAGCTCACTGTACTTACAGTAATATTGTAGTTTCCTGGAGGTGCAATATAGGTGACAGTTCCCCTAGCCTTGGGGTGAAGAATAAGGCGATGGTTCAGTAAAGTATTTTCATGTACAATCCCAAACCGATCCCCTCCTGTTATGTGGTCTCCAATCTGCAAATAACAACAAACAAGAGTAAATAATAGTTCTTTACAAATTGTAGTCCACCTTCAAGGATTACTATTAAATTTTCATTAAAAAATTGTGATCAGATTCCTTTACAGGAAAGATTAACCCTCTAAAATTTGCTTAACTCCCAATCTGTGGCTTCATAGTTCAGTTGGTAGTGGCACTGAAATACATGTAGTATCTGGTAGGCATGGGTTCAAGTGCTGTTTAAATTCAAGTAACTTCTTTGTTATGAGACTCACCAGGGATGCATAAACTGTGAATTTCTTTGGAGGCCAAAAACTTGGGTTTGATTTTACATTACTTGTCCCTACTTAAACAAATTAAAAGGATTTATAGATTTTTGGATTCTGATGAAAGTTGACCAGAATATCTGTCAGATATTAACACACCGAAGTGGGTGAGGCTATCGTGAAATTCAAATATTTTTCATGTGTCATTCCTGTAGGTGACAACTGAAATATTTTCGGTTGTCCTACTTCAGAATAGATTTTCTCAGGAGCCAATAGGGATGTATGGAAAAAGCATCTCACTCTTTATCAGACTAATATCTGCTGAATGATGTTGTCCAATTTGTTTGGAGGTCTGCAGTAATGCAGAGGCTTGTAATTCAGAAAAGCAAACACAGTCAGTATTGAATTGTTTTTAAAAACTTGTACATGCTTAGAAAAACAAAAACTGTTAAAACTTTAGGTATTTTCAGAATTTACACTTTATAAGCTTTACTGTGAAATATTAATAGTTTTTGATTTTCCAGAGAGCACCCTGTTTTTTTAACAATAACCTTAACTATATATACTTAGATTCATACATCATTTTTCTTCTTACACAAATGGAAGTGAGAAAAAAATGTCCAGAAATTCAAACCAACTTTACAAATTGTATAAGCTTAGCTCATCATCATATTTGTCATTTTGACTCAGTAATTTGGATATATCAACAAAGTTGAAGTGGTAAATTGGCCACCGTAACGATTACAAAAGCTGACGTTTCGAGTGTTAGCCCTTCGTCAGAGCAACGAAGGGCTGACACTCGAAACGTCAGCTTTTGTAATCGTTACGGTGGCCAATTTACCACTTCAACTTTGTTGATATATCCAAATTATTTCGTTACTCCCACCGACCCAGTCCCAAACAGTTTATTTCGAAACTATCAGCCTTGACTCACTAATTGTTACTCTTAATGTCATTGCTCTCATCATGGCCATTATCATCACCATAATCATCAGCAAACACAACAAAAAAAAACAACCAACAAATATTACCTTGAATCTTTCAGGTTTGAAATCCCAGGAAACACTACGATTTAGAGCCTCAGTGTTGACACCACGAGGAATATAAATACTCTCTGTCATTTCATTAATGTCCTGAGACAAAAAGAGGAGGCCTTATGGTCAGATGTACCCAACACAACTAATCTTATTTTTCCCCTTGGGGGTCCTCCATAATGGCTAAGCTAAGGCAGAAGCAAATTAAACAATGTTGCTGAACAACAATTGACCATGTGCTGATAAAACCAAACATGAGGGTGCGGAGCTGTGAACTCACAAGTACATTGTAGATCAGGCTCCGGTTGTTCAAAGGGCAGATAACGCTATCCAATGGAAAAATCGCTATCCAGCAGATAAGTGTTACCAACATGTACTGTGCTATTCACCAGATAGAGATTTATCCAGTATATAGCATTATCCATCCTTCGAACAACTGGGGCCTGGAAGGAAAAAGACTAGCTAATAACAGGAGGAGATGGCTGATTTAGAGACATGAAGCTACAAATGGAGGTTTCAAGGATTTATTTTAAATTCCACAAGTGTTGAGTAGTACCTTTCCCTACTAGTTAGGTACTATACACTTCCAAGAAACTTCCATTTAGTATTTTCTCTAGATAACACCATCTTCATGACAAGTATACTCATTTTTGTAACCTGCTTACTGGATATTGTAAGTCTAGAGCAATTTTCATGTGAATCACTTTTTACAGTTATAGTGTCAACTCATACCTTCAGTGGTCTCTGAATTCCATCGAAAATACTTCCTAGGATACCTGGTTATAATTAAAAAAGGAGAAAATTTGAAAAATGTAAATCATTTCACCCTCAAGAATTGATTGGAAGTTCTCCTTACTGTCTGCAATACATTCTGACGATGTTAGTTGAGAGAGTTTAGTGTTGGATCAGGTAAGAGTCCCTTAACTGAAAATGTATTGATATTGTAAGGAGAAATCCTGTCATGGGAGTTAAATGACATTTTTTTTTTTACAAAATGCACCTACAGATCAGCAGTAGGCACAAAGTATGCTCATCCATTTGTATCTACAGTAGAAGAAAAAATCTTACCTGGACCCAATTCAACAGAGAGAGGTTTTCCAGTTCTAAGCACAGGATCACCAACTGTTACACCAGCTGTAAAAATAACTTGTTAAGGCACAATTCTGTTTGCTCTGCAAAATACTGTTAATACTTGATAACACACCAACAAAGAAGCAGGACAAAGCCTCAACCCAAATCACAAGGAAATCACTTATTGCATAGTCATCACAGTTTATCTATGATTTACAGACAAAGTATGTAAATTATGCCAAGTCTTTTATCATCTCTAAGTTTCCGGCTTACAATATAACAAAAGACACTTGCCAAAGGAAAAGCTTCAAAACTATACATTAGACAGGTAAATTGACCAGAAATTAGTAACAGGAATAAGTCATATACAAGTAACTTTCGCTCTGAAGAAGGGCTTATGCTCAAAACGTCAGCTTTTATAATCGTTACGTTGGCCAATTTACCATTTCAACTTTGTTGATATATCCAAATTATTTCATTACTCCCACCGATGCAGCCCCAAACAGTTTCTTTCAAAACTATCAGCCTTTATTAACTTGGATACAGGTTTCCTCATAAACTTGGATTGTGGCCATATCTCCTTCAAGGCGGATTATCTCTCCAACTAGTTCACTGTGTCCTACACGAACCTTGATGAAAAAGAGTTCATTTCAAGTAATCATACACTTTATTACCATTTGGGCTACCATTTGAGTTACCATTTGAGCTAACCTATCTCTAACATTGGCATGATCTCAATAATTATTTCTATAATCAAGCATTTGTTTTCTCCCTAAAAAAATAACACTCCTTCCACCTTAATAGTGCATCAAACAATTAGATGCAGCTCATCATCACCATGGCTGGTATGTAAGATACATGTAATGCACATGTTTATTTGTCCAAGACGGAGAGGGGGTAAATATCAATTTGTCTGAATTTACTGGGAAGAACAATCATTGATTTTTATAGGTTGTTAACCACTAATATAACATAGCTAGCAGAGCCGTACAATCAAATTCAGTATATACGTATAAGCATGCTCAAAATCTCAATAGTGCACGCTGATAGCGTAAGCAAATTGCTTTGCCAGAAATTTTTTTTTTCACGCAAGCAGCCATTGTTAGCACAGGGAATCTCGATAGTGCACGCTGATAGCATGAGCAAATTGCTTTGCCAGAAATTTTTTTTCACATGAGCAGCCATGTTAGCACAGGAAAAAATAATATATTTCGCGATAATAATGGATAGAAACAGAGACTTGGCCCACCAGTCCTAATACGAAGACAATTTTCCCACCTTTTCTATTGGGCTAGAGTTCTTAAATGAGGCAGAAAAAGAGAAAAACAATGGAAAAGGAGACTCAGCATCAGCACCATCACGATTCGCTTCACTGTCTGAGGGTGAAATGTAACAAATTTTGACAGAAAGACACTCTGGTAAAACCAAACAAATGACAAACTGGTCTGTTTCAACCTTCAAAAGTAAGCTTAAATTTTTCCGTTTTATAATTGTTAAATATATATTTACAGTCGTTCTCAGAAATAGTAAAACTCATGGAATAATTGTCTGCAAAAGTATTAACACATTTAATTGCATCAAATTACAGATGTAGTGATAACAGTCTTTCTGTCTGGTTTTCCTTCATGAAAACAACTTTTAAATGGTTTCTTTTCAAACTCAAAGAAAATTTGTTTTTATTTTAGCTTGGTGTAACAAGAAACAAATACAAACTCCTAACAATCACTTCTGACATTGTTGTCCTTTTTTTGCGTCAGATTTGATGCACAATTCCACCAGCTATGTTATAAAACAATTGGTTCATGCTTTTAGCTGTGCACTATTGAATTATGGAGCAAGTGGGAAGTTTGGAGAGCACTCAAGAAGGTAGAGTTGCCCTCAGCTATGGCCTTGGGCGACTCTTACGCTTCTTTCATGTTCTCCAAACTTCCCACATGCTCCATAAGTCAATAGTGCATACAAAAGCTTGAACCAATTGTTTAAGTAAGGGGGCTGTGTAAGCAATTTCAGGGAATGGCCAAAGTTTCATGGTTACGGCATACTGAATGTATAGAGCCCCCACTGCTGCTGTCACAGCTTAATCCTACTTCTGGGGCATGGTGCAATATGGAGTGATGCTACTGCCTTACTGGTAGGAAGATAATTCAGTTGCAGGCTAAGCCTCCTTTCTTTTCGATTTCATCCTCTTAAAGTTTCCAGCATCCACGATGATTTATGGTATACTAGCAAACGATCAGACAAAGTTTGCAAAACAAGACAAAAATGCTGAAGGTTCTTCAGAAAAAACCTACAGTTCGATCGTTTAATTTTTCCAAGAAAACGTCTATATCAGAAAAGAATTATAAATACGACGACGAAGAGGAGTGTATAGACACATTCTTTTCAAAATAAATGTTGACCACTCTTGATCAGATTACCAGAGTTACATCAATACTTAATTTACTATTCGATCTCCTCAGTTGGTTACATGCCAAATGTATTTTTTTAAACTCACGTACCAGTTCGTACATGGCAGCCCCGCTCATGTTTTCCGCCGTGACCACTACAACACAAAATGGCTGGTTAGTCAAGACTAACAGACTATAACAATAAAGAGTAAGGAAGGGTTGAGGAATTGCGCTGCATATTTAATGAGCAGGAGAGATTTTATGTAATTCGATGGCGTTCTTTCACTCACCGGGTCCAGACACAGCGAACACATATCCAAACTTGCTCTCTTTCTCCTGATCTTTGATTTTTGGAAGCTTTTTCGTAAGATCCATTCCCCCGGCCTGGATAAAAATAGACAAGAGATCCTCGCAATCTAATTTCAATTACTCTACGTAAATTAGAAACTAAAACAGGAGCAGAACGCAGGTTCACCCACCATCTTGAAAATGATATAATTGTCACGTGGGTTTCTCGGGGCCCGGAAGAGCTGACTTGTTCCCAGTACTTTTCGTATTCAAATACGCAGGAATAACATGGCGGACTATTGGGTCGTTTATTTTCATCTTGTAGCTGCTTTTCTGATTAATATTATAGCTCTTCAGCAAAAAGTGTCTGCACAAGGAAGTGCCGAAGCTACGCAAGCTATTCAAGTAACAGTTTCAAGCACGCAATCTGTGGCAAGTTTAATTTCAGTTTCGCCTAAACAAACAGCAACTGGGAACAGTTCATCACAAATTGACTTGCCGAATTTAGAGTGTCCTGATGGACTTCCTTGTCGTGATCTCGGTGTTTCTTGCATCAACTGTACTATGAACTATTCGTGTATATATGGGAAAGACCTCGAAGCACAATGTGTGGCGTATAGCTCGATCGAATGCACGGTATGTATGAATTAGTTCGGTATACTTGTACATGCATTGTAAATTTACAGCTTCTATTTGTTTGTGATATCAGATTTTTATAAGTGACAGTAAGACAATCGTGCTTAGATTGAGGAATAATTTCTTTATTAAATTCTTATTAATTGTTTGAGTGATCTAATTAATTGCAATGAATCAATCGTCGATAGTACGTAAGAAGTACAGTCGAACCTCGATTATCCGGACTTGTCGGACCTTGCTAAACAGTCCGGATAATCGAAAATATGAATATTTATGAGACAGAAATGTAAAAAAAAGGTATACAGCAAAGCAACAATCATTTTAATTGTGAAATCTACACAGCCTGTGTGTATTTAATTTACGGCAAGAGTACAATATAACGCCATACATTAATTATGCATTCAGACTAGTAGACTTTGTTTTTAAAGTTTTGTCGTGACAGACAAAGAAGTGGAATGCATATTTAATGTATGGGGTTATATGATACTCTTTCCGTATTTACAAAAAAAATCTTTCAGTTCAGGTATTTACAAAGGTCTAAAATGTTCAAACATGTTTGTTTGCTTCAAAGACTTGTATCTTGATCGCATTACAAAGTCCATCATTTGTCTTAGCTGCATTAACTGCACAGGGTCAATATCGTTCTGTGATTCCATCCACAATAAGCATTTTTTGAAACATTGCACTGCCTCTTTAGTTGATACTAGTTTCTCGTCCTTGCCCTCATCTTTCTCATTGCTACATACACTTTCCCTTTCCGTCGAATCTCTGACAGTGGTTGCTAAAATCTCTTCATCAGACATTTGCAGTGAATTCAGGAGCTCATTTTCCAGATTAAGCCAGTCTTCCACATCACAAGCATTAGGCTCCTCCTTGCCAAGTTGCTGTACATGTTCCAACATTTCGACCATAGACTCAGTGAAATTATCCTCGCTGAATTCAGGCTGTGAATTTGACTCGCTGTTGTCTGAATTTTGAAAAGCGCACAGGATATTACACTGTTTCAACAGTCTTTTGAAAGGATTATTGGGCATTTTGTGACTTTGAGTTTTCATGATCACAACTAATTGATATTCATGAAAAAATTGGGACCAGACAAAAGAGTCTGGTCCCAATAATCGAATTGTCTGGATAATTGAGGTCCGGATAATTGAGGTCCGGATAATTGAGGTCCGGATAATCAAGGTTCAACTGTACTAGTGTTTACTTTCATGATTGAGCAAATAAAAGTCTAAATTGATAGACAAAAATTATACATTTTTCTAACATTACAAGTATTTCAGGTATTTATAAAGATCTAAGAGAGAAAAATATAGATAAAACTGTTTATTAGAATTCAAAATTTGAAGTGAAAATGCTGTTTATCACACAAGCTGTTTAATCACAGGGAAATCGAACTTTCAAGATAAATTACACCTGCAAGTACTGTTATCAACTGCATCCTGATCATTATGAATGTGAGAAACAGTCAGGCTGCAAGGTAACAACTTCATGTTACTGTAACCTTTTTAGAAATAAATCCCAGAAGTTAAATGTAGAAGTCTAGTGTACTTTGGTGGAAGAATAACACCCTCAATGTTAAGAGATGTGACTGAACAACAGCTAGAGAGGATCAGCAGAGTTTCACACCTCTCTTCGCCGACCTTACAGATATTAATTTTCTAAACTTATGCTACCTTTTACCAGCTGCTGTTTGGGATTGAGCTCAGGTACTCCCCCCCCTCCCATCCCCCCAAAAAAGATAAAAAAGTAGATGCAAGGAAATCATGAATAATCGAGCCCTAGCTACCTGAGGAGCATTAAATAAGGATGATCTTGAAAAGAAAGTTGATTTTGTCATTATGTTTCTAAAACCTGACTATGCGTCTTGTTCATTAGAATTTAAACCATTTCCCTTTGTCTACTGGTCATAAACTAGACAAGGAGCTCTGCAATGTAAACCAGTATAACACTTCTCTATGTTGGTATTTTATCTTTTTTGTGGTTCAGTTTTTTAAGTTTGAGGAGTTAAAGAAATGGAATTATTAATGATCCATGTCCGATATAGGTGGTTTCCAGTCCTAGGGAGAGATACAAAACAAACTGCACTGTGAAGGACAACTTCCTCTGTCTTGGTGAGTTGTTAAATTAACTTTTTGAGCTAAAACAAGCATGGTTCTGCTCTGTTTCTGCTCTGTTTGAAAGAATGGATTCAAAATGATAACTTATAGAATTTTCCAGCAAATGAACTGACAAACAAAGTAATGGATAAAAGTTAATTGACATAATTATGTAAGAGAGCAGTTCAACCAATCGAGCAATAGATAACATTTACCTCACACTATTATACAAGGTGTGGAAAACATGTAAATTTTTCACTGGGGACTTATCATGAGGCAAAAGCAATCTGTTTTGCAGACAAAATAACAATAGTTTTGACTAGATTTGTCCTGAGTAGACTGCAGTTTGAATCCAAGAAAGTTAAAATTTAAAGCTGAAGTGAAAAGTCAGGCTAGTGAAATTTTAATAATAAATAAATTTGAATTTGTACTTTCTGTGAATCAGTACACTGAAAACTAGTGTGAAGAATTTCAAAATAAGGGAAAATTAGAAACACTTCATAAGCATTCACAAAAGTAAGAGTAAGGACTAAGATCTTACTGTTACCAGAACTACTTTTATTAATTATGTTTTTTCATCTTGATCAGGTAATCGTACATTCCCAAAATCACTTTTGTGTAACTGGACGTCTGGATACAGGTGGTCAACTGCTGTATTACTAAGGTAAGAGACGTGTGATTATCCTTTTGAGGGAATCAGGGCAAAGAACTGCAGCAGCTGCTATTGAGAAAAGGGTAAAGATTTAAGACTCGTGTCCAAAAGTCAGAGAAGGGTTAATGAATGTAAGGCTTTGGGGAGACCCTAGAGTGATATGCCTTGTCTATGGTCATTGAAAATGGAATGAAAGGGGAAGTATGGAGAGCTTTAATTAATCATCCCTGTTTCCATTTTTGGACCTGATTTGTGAGAGGCTGTGTACTCCAACCATGGGTTTTTGTATTGAAAGGAGAGCATTGATTTCACAAAAAGTTACTTGTATTAAGGTATTTAAAAATTAAGATTATTTCTATGTTACTTTGTTATATTCTTTTGTATCTGCAGCTTGACTTTAGGGGGCTTTGGTGTGGATCGATTTTATTTGGGACATTGGCGAGAGGGCCTTGGAAAGCTGTTCAGCTTTGGGGGCCTGGGAGTATGGACCCTTGTAGACCTTATCCTCATCATTATTAGATATGTTGGACCAGAAGATGGTTCTCTCTACATATTTTAGTCTAGGAAGGAGCCATTTCAGTAGGGACTTGAAAAGCTGCTCTGCCTAGGGGCACTTGGAGTGTATAGACATTTGTGAACCTAGAGCTCATGGATGTGTTGAACCAGAGAATGGTTTTCACTAACTATTCATATCTTACATGGGACACGCTACTTTAGTGGTGAAAAGGCTTCGAAAGGTGTGCATATTTAAACCTTGTGAGATTTGGTGCCATCTTGATAGCCTTGAACATACAAGTCAAGTATATCCCCCAGGGATGGCTGATGTACACTGCAAAATTAATGCAGGACTGAAAAGTGGAGAAGGATCCATAAATATGTTGCTTTATTTGCATTATGAGACCTTGCTGCAGCAAAATCTTTAAACAAAATTGCATCTGGAGAACATGTAGTTCTCTCTACTTGTAATGTGTTACAGAAAACTCTGGCTGGAAGACTTAAACTATTGGCCTCAGAAGTGCTGTTTTCAATTTTTTTTTTTTTATTATGTGCTCTCGTGCCACTGTTTTATCATTTCATGGAAGAGTGAGATGTGCTAATGCCCATCTTTGGTCATTTATGAGAGCAGTTTTGTCATTGTAAAGTGCAGATCTACTTTATTTGCTTTAATTTTAGTGCCATGAGAAAGAATTGTATCACCCTTTATAATCAAATGAAGGTGTGGCAGAAAATGGAGACAAGAGTTGGTGCACATACACTTTTTTTGTTTAAATTTAAGTATTTGTATAGGTAATCAAATGATTTTGAGTGCAGTTTGGAATAAATAAGCACAAGTAATTTTTTCAAAGACTAACAAAATTGCATGAGCCCATAGGGCGAGTGCAATTTGCGATCTTTGAAAAAATTTACCAGTGCTTATTTGTTCCAAATTGCACGAGAAAATAATGTGATTATCCATTAATAATATACATGAAAAAATACGAGGTAGCTTCTCATAACTACGCAGAAGAAAAGCGAGCGAATCATGTGCAAAAGTGATATATTCAAACCCTGCAAGTGACATTGACCTTGACATTGACCAATCATTCTGACCGATCAGAATGTATGGTTTGTTTCTATCTTTGCACTAAATTAAACCTCTCCTGCACTGAATTAACTCTCTTCTGCACTGAATTAACTGAAAACTGCAATCATGTTGACCAATCAGAACTGAGAAATTTTTTCATGTACATTATTAAGAAATGTAATGAGTGGCCTAGTCACTGAAGTTTGAATTTATTTGGTCCCAGAGACATCAACACTTTAGTTTTAGGTCAAATTTAAATATTTATGGAGAGGCTGGAGGATAATCAATGCAACATGCACTATAAAAAACAGGCTGCAAGAATTTTTAGTTTTGTGTCAACTTACTTGTAATGATGGCATTGAAACCCCTTCTCCCTACCTGCCAATGCAAATGGAGGGAGTCTGACAAGCTACATTTTTTTCATTCACATTCTGACTCCTCCCAATGAAAATGCAATGTGGATTCCAGTGGCCAATACAAAGGTCAAAAGAGATCCAATAGTGACACTTTAGGAAAAATAATTCTTATGGTAGATCCAACTTTCAGAGCCCCTTAAAAAGGCAATGAAGTAGTATCACCCAATTTCATGCCCCCATCAGGGTCATAAGCTTAGATACAAAAATCTGGTTTTTTTCAGGGTTTTTTTCTTTTCAGAGACTTGTGGGATTTAAAATAAATGAGGATTTGTAGAACACTTAAGGAAATTTAGGCAGTAATTCATGAAAAGAATACAACTGATACCATAAAAACAAAGTTCCAAGTGGGGTCCATGGACATGTCAAACTCTGTTAATTGTTTACGGTTGCTACTGTTTCTTTGAAAGAGGATGTAAGGAGACAAAGTTGAAGAACCACCCACACTGTCTATTTTGAATCGGAGTAGGCTTACAAATTTTCTTCATGAAGTCTCATCCATTTATGTGAATTAAAGCTACTGTCAGTTGAACCACGCCCTTGTGACAACTTTTAACGTGGCAACAACAACCACGTCCAAACAGATCTGCACCTTCTCTATCTTTAATTGGATATTTATGGGGGAAGGGAATGCGTGGGTGTTCTAGGCACAGTCTATTTCACTGCAGAGGAAAATCGACTGAGGTTTAGCACATTATATTCTACGGTTCAGAAGTCATTCAAACAGTGACACCTCTACAGCAGTTGCACTGCATTGCGGAAAAACTGGATCGAGGAAGACTGAATCATGCTATACTCAGAATTTTGCACCCAAGTGACGTTTCAGACGAAGACAGCGAAGCTTTACCGTCATACCATCGGACAGTGTTTTGCTTCATTGCGCATACTTCACACAACGCAATCCGCAGTTTAACATCGTATCACATATGGAAACAGACAACCCAGCAGTTTGGGAATGTAGGAGGGGTCAGTTGCAGGAAATGGTATTCACGATTTCTGAACAATGTGCTATGTTCAAAGAATTGCGGCAAAAGCTAACGCGCTCAACGCAACAAGGTTTAGCCCAGTAGCAGAAACTCGCAGAGATATGAAGTTTTATTACTGACGATCAAGAATTATAAACAGAAGTGTTGCAAACACTACCAGTGTTCTGCAAATATTAACCCTCATTAACTTTACTACTTCCCCGTCTTCTGATCTCTTGCAGTCCTTCCCAATTCTCTTTTATAATGTCACATTGACGGGAAGTATACACCCAAGTGAACTACAGCTATTATCGGTGATCACGCTACCTTCGCTTTTAAACAGACACGCAAGGGTCTTGAGTTGTTGCGTGGCGCAACAGACACGCAAGGGTCTTGAGCTGTTGCCTAACGCAAGGATTCAACGTACATTTTGAATGTTCTACGTAACCTGATGGTGTCTGAATGATATGAGAACAAAATAGCAATGCTTTGAAGAAAACCTTTACAAAGGTTTCAATCCCTGGACTGACGATTGTGAGAGACTGCACATATATTCGAAGCTTTTTCGTGAGCAAAAACAGAATCAAGTCAATGACACAAAGGAGAGAGAATACAAAATGCGAAGCAAAGAAATGTTTTTGTTCGCTCTAAAGCTGAAATGTAGGCAAAGGACGCCTAGAATATTGTGATCTAGTATTTCTTTGCATTCTTTGATTGCTGATTAACTTTTTACAAAACGAGTTAAATTCTATTTAGGATTGTTTGATTACTTTTACGCGACATTATGAAAACAAAAAACTGCAAAGTGATACGCTAAACTGTACAATTTCTCTTTTTAAAATGTTCTGTGATAAAAAGTTATGTTATCTTTTAACAAGGAATAATTTAAAGCTAATGAAGTGATCGCGCGACTTCTGCGGAGCGGTCCCTTGCGTTGTTGCTTTTGATCTTGTTATCACCTGTAGAATAACGAGACTTTAAGTCACTTACGATAAACTCTCAAAATGCTGACCACCTCCCGGGTGGAGCATCAACTTTCCAATAAGCTTCCCTCATTCCCACCCTTCTCTTTCTAATAACTAATAAGCCTTTCTGCCGCCCTCCTTCCTTTCAAGACCCGGACGGAAGTCATCATCAGAGTCGATTCTGGTTCGTAAAAAATCTGATTCATCAAGACTGTTCGATAAACTTTACAGGGATGCCACTGGGTATTTCAGGTCACATGAACCTTGATAATTCTGTCAGACTTGTAGAATATCAAACCTGGAACTGACCTTTTAGATCGTTTTACTTTCTCTACAATCTTTTCTACAAAGTTGTCGCTAAAGCCAGGGCAGGTCGCCTCTATTGATTTACATGCATCCATAAGATGCTCTACTGATCGTCCCTGGCCACCTTGACTTGTATTTAGCTGCAGCAAGAAAATAACACGTACATTGTCACTCAGATCTCGCTACTCTCAAAATGAATAGCATAGAGTTGACAGGGTTATTGCATGTAATTCCACATCAAAACTCCGTGTTTAAGACAAGAGCGGGGTTGTAAGTTTGTGAATTTACGTGTATACAGTAAATCATATGATCTCGAATGCAATTGGGAAAAAATGAGCACTTATAGTTTTTGAAGGACCAAACCAAAATTCCACGAGCCCATAGGGTGACTGCATTTTGTAGTCTTACAGAAATAACTACAAGTCCTAAATTTTCCAAATTGCACAAGAAAAATCAAGTAATCGCTTGTTATTACTAAACATAAAAAAAGTTTGAGATAACTTTTCATAATTGCGCAGAAGCAAAGCGCACAAATAACGCACAAAAATGATTTTGTCCAATCCCAGCAAATGTAGTTAGGCGTTCGGTCAATACAAACGTTTAGGACAAAAAAAGGAAAAATAATTTTCTTGACGTTTCTTTTTTCAGCTGCAAGAAAGCTCAAAACCCGACTAAAACGGTTTAACTGTAAAGTTGGTTATATACACATACCTTGGTCAGTGTTGGTAACAAAACGGTTGATAAATATTTAGATGGAGGTTTTTCTCCTTTACTTTTGTCTTTTGGTACCTACATGTTGAAACACGAAAGTAAGTTCAATACTTGTACCACAAAAACGACATGTACAGGGCGTAAAATTAACATTTTTTTTCCGGTAGCTACTTGGCTCCTAAATATTTTAAAGTGGTAGCCAATTCCAAAAAGTTGGTGGCAATTATGACACACACACCCACACAAAAACATTTTTACCCTGTCACTGTACTAGATAGATTATCATATCAGAGATACAGTCATACAAACATCAAAGATGAGCCCGCTAAATTAGCACGAGCTACAAAGAGGGCACTAGAATGGATCATATACAACTTTCTAGGTTACCTAAATCCAATATGGCGTCTAGTGACGATAGATTTACGGCGTTCGACATCGCGCATGTGCTGCGTTTTGGAAACGAGCTTAACGAGGAACTTTGCTGCATATTTATCTTTACAAATCTTCAACAATCACTAGATCTCTAGCTAAGGTGTGATTAGAAATTCTAGTCGCCAATTTAGCGACTAATTTTCAGGATTTGGTCGCCAAAGTTAAAAATTTAGTCGCATTGGCGCCTGTATTAGGTGCAATTTTAGGTTGTCCTGGTGTACCGGTTCACAAGGGAATTACCATTATTCTTTCTTTGTTTAGGAGTTATTAGTTAGCTATTGTGTATTGTTTGGTCTTTTGTATTGGCTCTTGTGAACTGGTACACGAGGACAGAACCCAATTTTACGCCCTGCATGTACAAGGCATGTAACCCAGTCCGACCCCAACATATCTGAATCAATTTTGACTGACCTTACCCCTAAAATAAGTTTCAACAGAAGTAAAATTAGGTGAAATGAAAAGGTGTTAAGAGTTTACTTTTTTCTGTTAAATAAAAATCTTTGAAGGTTGGAGAGGTCGAGGTGGATTTTTACTTGTTTAACTTTGCTGTGGTAGGTTTTTTTTTTTKTTTGTTTGTTTGTTTGTTGGTTTTTTTCTAAGGTTTGTACCCTTATTCCGAAACAAATTTCAAAGTCTTTTTCAGGAAACAGATTGATTTTTTTCCAGGACTCCAAATTTCACCTTAACCACTTTCATGCACAAGATTTCCGAATCAGTTCTCCTTACAATATACATGCATTTCTTATAATCACTTTCCAGGACTTTCCAGTCCTAGAAAATATCAAAATAAAATTCCAGGACTTTTTCGAGATTTTCCAGGACCCATACGAACCCTGAGTGAGGCTATTACCTGATAAAATTTTTAAGACTTCAGTGA